CGTACATCCCCTGCGACTCCAACCGGGGGTAGCATGGGGAGTGGTTTTATATCAGGAACCCGGTGGACGCGCCGTTCAAAGCGTTCACCGACAGGAGGCCGGAGAGGTGGGATAGTTGGTTGTGGGGCCCTTCCCGTTGGGAGAAGAAGAATGTGGAGATCATTGAGGAGCAGCTCTAGAAGCTCGTGCGGCGTGGCCTTCACGGGGTGCGGGTGTTCCACACCCTCTACTACCGTCGGGTTGCTCCATTGGCGGAGAGGGCATGGCCGATGTGGAGGTATGGCGGCCTGTCGAACCGTGATCGCTCGTCACTAGAGGAGCTTCCGGATGATGAGGTCTGGAGTCACCTCGACCGGGTGTTGTAGCTGAAGCCCAAAGAGAAGGTCGATGGAAAGCCCGGACCTCTCAACACCTTGGTGGTGTCCAAACTGGTATGCTCCCTTCCCCTTACTCTGTGTTCTTTTCCCTTTGCCTTCCTGCTTTTTTATTTTGAGTTGCCTGTTTTGTAGGGACTTAATACTTACAAGTCCTGGCCGCACCTTCTGAAGGGGCCGGAGGGCGCGGCTCGGTAGGCCGCCCAGAAGGAGGCGGCGGATGCCAAGAAGAAGAAGAAAGCCAAGGTGGCTCAGCGGAAGTATGAGAAGGAGAAGGAGACCGCTCAGCACATGAAGGCCGGGGAAAATAAGAGTGACGTCGAGTCAGAGCTCGAGTCAAAGGATCCCACAGAGGTGGACGACATGATTTTCTCCGAGGAGGAGAAAAGCCGAGAGGTCGTGGTGACCTCGGTGGAGCGTCGCGATCCTATGGCGATGTTTGCTGGCAATGAGCAGGAGGCGGAGAGACGCGCCATGGTTCCCATGTCGAGGAAGCGTGCGGCGGGCGCGAACGCCGCCAGCGAACGGGAGGTGAAGCGGACGCGGTCACCGCGCCCTTTGGTGGCATCGTCGGTCTTGTCCCCACCTGTCGCGGACACGGCCAAGCAAGCCAGGCGGTCCGAGGAGCAGGCTTGTACCCGCACGTCGCTAGGACCGATGCCAGCGCATGACTCTCAGAGGGAGGATGCCCCGCCTGCTGCTCCGGTCGGCGTGTCCCGAGCCGAAGGCCGTGGTGACCCACAGGCCGGGCAGGAGCCGGTTGGGATGACTCCGCCTTCAGCTGAAGTGAGGGGGCGCGGGTTGCAGCCCAGGAGCGGTCCACGCCCTACGGGCCCGTCGACATCGGGTCTTGGTTTCAGAGTCGTGCCGCTTACCTCCCGGTATGTTTTTCTTTTTTTTCTTTTTGATCTTGCTGTCGAGTCTTTTTGGAGTATGACTGACCTATACTTTTTGTCAGCGGCCGGATGATGACGGGGTTGAGCATCGCCCCAACTCCCGTGTAGGAGGTTTGGAGGCCCACCCTGCAGCGTGTCACGGCGAGCGGTGGGGGGAACAGGGTGGTGGCAGCGAGTCCTTCCCTTCCAGGGGTGGTGCTCCCTGGGTCAGCTGCTAGTACGGCGGTAGCGGTGGCGATGGTGCTGACAGCGATCCCGGTGGTGACGGCGGGGGCTTCGTCGGAGGTGTCCTTGCAGCCCCTCCTCCACCGGCTGAGGTGGAAGAGGAGAGGGAGACCGAGCTCCCTGCCTCACTGAGCGGAGGGCTGCACGGCTCATCCTCACGGTCGGAGCTGAAGGCATCGGAGGGAGACACGGCCGGGATGAAGTCGAAATGCTTGTCGGTGGCCCATGAAACCGAGGTGGTGGAGATCCCTTCCGATGATGAAGCGGATGACGTGGTGGAGCTGCCGGTGCCATCACAGGAACTGGCGGTGGTTCGGTCAAAGGTTGGGCCCTCTGGCAGGCTGGAGGAGGGTGACCTAGAGTGGCCCTGCCCTAAGGACCCGTCAAAGGTTCGATTCATCCTTCGGGATTCCCAGGAGTGTCGGCTCTAGGACATCCTTGGGGGGAAAGGACTTGCCATGAAGTCCGATCTCACCAAGCTATCGGTGAAGCTTGAGGACGCCTAAGAGCGGGTTAAGTCCACCCAGCAGTTGGTCAAGGTCGACCTGCAGCACACCACGGAGGTGGGTTTCCCATGTTTTGTCCTTGACCTCTTAGTCTCTTGTTGGTTGCCTCAGCATGCTTGCTTCTTGTTTTCGTAGGGTCTGCGGGAGATGTCGTCCTACAAGTCTCGTTTCCTCTGGATGGAGCATGCCCAGATGGCTGAGCTTGAGCGTTAGCTGGAGTCCGCCCACCGTGAGTCCCAGGACCGAGCGGCCGAGGTGACCGCGGTGCGGGCGGAGGAGCAGCGTGCGGTGGAGCGGGCGACCACCGCCGAGCGGGGGCTTGACGCAGCAAAGGCCCGCCAGGCAGAGACCAAGGCGGGGCTACAAAAATCCCTAGAGACCCTTGAGTCGGAGCGGAACGCCCTAGAGTCGACGCGAAAGGCTCTAGAATCGGAGCAGAAGGCCCGGTCGGAGGCAGACCAGGAAGTGCTCGCGCTTCGGGGCCGGGTGATGGGGACGGAGGAGGTGAACGCCCGACTGCGCGAGTAGGTGGCCTGGCTGGCGGAGGGACTCTCCGCCCTCGAGAACTTCCACCTCGGTACGTACCTTTTCGGTTTTTTGTCATGTTGGTTTCTTCCTTTAGCTTGTTTCTGAGCTTTTCACCCTTCTTCCAGAGCTGGGTGGAAAGGTGAAGTCGTTGGAGCGGGACCTACAGACGGTCAAGGCGACTTTTGGCCAGAATGCAGAGGCACCGGCCAAGTCCCTTGAAGAGCGACGTGCTCTCGAGGGGGAACTTGACCAGATCCACAATGTTGCCCAGCTTGTCTCGGAGGTCTTCGGATCGGCGCCAAGTACTAGCGCGTCCGCCATCCAGCTGGCGGAGGTTCTGGATGAGGTCCGAGCCCTCATCACACACGGGCTATTCTATGGAGCGTCGGGGTGTTGACTTCGGTGGCGACGTACCACCCGAACCTAGACTTTGCCACTATCTACAACGGGTATGCCGACGGCTTGAGCATGGAGGACATCCAATCGCTCGGGGAGAGCATGCTACCGCATGCAAGGTTGGTGGCAGAGCAAGTCTCTACGCAGTGGGTGATGGATGCCCGCCGTGAGGACATGGCCGGAAGCGTGCGTCAGGGGAACGTCGCCCAGCCTACGCATGGCGTGGAGCTTGGGTCGGAAGTGGACATCGCTCCGCCTTCAGTCGAGCCGAATGTCGTCCAGCCGGGGAGTGAGCAGTCTGTGCCTTCGCCGATCGCACCGACAGTAGATGCCGCCGGGCAACCCTAATAGCTTGTGAAGTATAAGTAGTTTAGTAAATAAAAAAAGTTTAAGATCATGGGGGAGCCCCCATGCAAACGTTCATGTGTACTCAATGACTACAATCGATTTCGTTTTTTTGTGATGGAGTCACTCCGTTCGGGGAAGCTTGTTCCTTTCGTTCCTTAGTTTTACCTTAGCATAATTTTGTTTTTTATTCTTTCTTTTTTGTACTTGCCCATTCGTCCCATAGGCGGCAACCTTAGGAGCCTAGGCGTGGCCCGCGGGGCTCAGCTGCTCGTAATCGTAGGTAAAGGCGGGGTGCGATCGGTCGGAATATTTTAAAGCAAAGCTACGTAAGGCAATTTAAAGGAATGAACTACCCTTTTGTTTGGGTAGGAAGGAGTTTTACCATATGACAGTAAACAAAAAGAGAGGTAGTAGTGCACCCTCGTGGAGCCCCCGAGCGACCCTGGCTGAAGGTGTTCGGGTTGGGGCGCTTTTATAGGAGCAAATGTTAAGTAAACAATGGTAAGACTGAATTTTAGGGGAAGAAACGACATAGCTGTTCCAAGCGCTGGTGAGAACGTTGTCATTGTCATCCTTTAATCGGTAGGCGTCCGGTCGGATCACCTTAACCTTCAGTCGTCCGGATCCTTGCCTGCTACGCCCCCTTTCTTGGCCGCTGCTTCTTCGCCTTTTTCTTCCTTTGGCCCGCCGGCCTGTCATAGAAGGCGCTTGAGGAGCTCACAGTCCTTGTAGAGGTGTTTGACGGGGTAGGCGTGGTTGGTGCATGGGCTCTCCATGAGCTCGTGGAAGTGGCCTAGAAGGTCCTGCTGGGGCTGCTTGCCCATGTGATCAGCCGTGGCGGCCAACGTAGAGTTAGTCGGTCGGCGGCGAACTTTTTTGTTCTTTTTCCCACTCTGCATGGAGGGGCCCTCGTCCTGATCCTGGCGCTTGGCCTTGCCTTTGCCTCGGCCTCCGTTGGAGCGCTGCGGGAGCGACGCTCTCTAGATGCGTTGGACAAAGGCCCATGGTCCTGAGCTGTAACACCCCAGTGTTATGCTAGCATTTAGGCACTGCAAATCATGCATATCATGCATCATCAAGCATCCTAATCATACATGCCAAATCATGTAAATAACAACTGAAACACTGCTTCGAAACATACGAAACATGTTCGTTAAACCTGAATGTTGCATACACTTGTTAGAGTTATTTTTGCCCTGATTATGTTTGTTAGGCTAGTAAAACATGTTTGGCTACTATTGTAAATCATCTAGGATTATTTAGTTCAATTTTTGGAGCAAGGTTTGTATTCAAATTAATTCAAAATTTTGCTTCAAAAATAATTCCCCAAAAATTAGGGTTTTGAGTTAAACATTGACTTTGATTTTGTAATTCAAAATCTATCAAGAATTTGGCTTTGGTCATAAAATCAAAGTTGTAGATATTGAAAAATGGAACAAATTTCATTTTTGCACCAATTCATGAAAATGTTTTTAAATGGCTCAAAAATGGGAATTTAATTCTGTTTATTTGAGAAATAAAAAGAAAAGAATTTCATTTCGCTTAACAGCCAGCCCGCTCGACTTTCATACCACGTCCCCTTTGCCTTAGCGCCTCGCATTGACCCAAATTTCATTGTTCCTCGTCATCGCCAGACACGCAGCGCCGATGCATGGCAGAAACACGCCCATGGCGATGTGACCATATGCGCTCATTGGCCTTGCGCAGCATCGCATGTACCGCCTCACGCATACGCGCCACGCCTACCGCTCTGCTGAAGCCACTGCGCCACTTGCACACTCTCCTTGCCTCTCCTCTCTCCCGCCGAGAGCTCACCCTCTCCCCTCGCCGCGCCATCGCACCCACCGCCAAATTCGCGCTTCTCCTCCACCTCGGCCGGCAATCGTGCGCGCGCAGCCCCGCCTCGCTCTCCGGCACGTGGTGCTCGCGCTTGTGCCGACTGTCGAGCTCAGGTAGCGCCTTCTCGCGCCTCGCCACCGTCGGCCATGGCGCCATCGTGCTCGGCCGCCGTGGAAGGCGCCCGTCCTGCTCTTCTCCACCCTGCCTAGCTACCTTCCCGCCTTCGCCAGCTTCTCGCGAACCGCATGCGCCCGCTTAGCTTCGCATTCATCACGGCCAGCAATGGCGCCGGTCTCGTTGGCGAGCGCACTTGCATGATGTCGGTACTGAAGCGTGGCGGTAACCGCCTCGGCCGAAGCTGGGCCAATGAGGCCATGGGCCGACGCCCTGCCAGGCCGCCTCCCCCTTCTCTTCGCTCGGGCCACGCAGGCCACGTGTGGCAGTGGGCCGACTAATTCCCGCGGGCCGGCCCAGTAGCAATAGGAGGATTCGTTTTCAATTTTTCTTTATCATTTGAAAATAGAAATGGTTTGGAAAATGTTTGGATACTCAAATTTGCTCCAAATCTGTTGAAATAAATTTTTCTAGGTTCTTTATCATCAGATCTACTTGGGAAAACTATTGCATGTCATTTTTGGGATACTTCTCTGTAGAACTTTATTTAATCATGGATATTGCTGATAACTTGAAAAATATGTAGAAAAACCTATAGGCTTCAGAAAAATATGATTCTAAGTTTGTTAATCTTCATATGTAATGTACTTTCTAGGAAAAATATGTGTCATGCATGTACTGTAGAAAAATTTTGAGGTGTAGTTCAAGTACCTTTAATGGCTGATTTTTGTTATTTTAGCTAGAGAGCAAACTTTGTATAAAACATGCATGTGATAATTTTTGTAAAGTGATTGTATGCTATAAAGATCATAAGAAAAATGCTAACTCTGTTGTTTGACACTTTTCACAGTACAAAGTATTTTCCTATTCATAATCATGCCATAGCTTGTTATTTTTGTGTAGGCTAATCCACTCATTCAAATACCATGAAAATCTGATAGTAGACTACTTAGGGTAGTACTGTGCTATGGTAATTTTCTAAGATTTTTCTAAGCAATAAAAATAGATGTTGCTATTCAAACCTATTATTAATTAGGGTTTAAGCAAGTGTTGCTTTAAGTGTGATTAAGAAATTAGTGAAGCTTTGGTGTATCTTTGAAGCATTCAATAAGATGTGTTGACTTAACATATTAGTAGTAGAAGAGAATGCAGTAGATGACATGTGCTCGTAGTATATGTTCTTGGATGATGTTGACTACCTTGCATTTAAACATATCCATTGTATTCATCTCATTCGATGCACCGATTGCATAAGCACTTACGCACATTGCATCATACAGGATCGCAAACGGAGAACCCAGTCATCATAACCGAGGAGCCCGAGGAGCAGCTCGAGGTGCAGCTGCAGGAAGTGCCCGAAGCCGACGAGGAGGACGTTGAGGAACTTCCAGAGTGCCCCGATCATCGTCCGAGCTCCTTCGAGAGAGGCAAGCCCCGAAGCATTTTCTCCCAGTTTGCAATTATTAATTAAATGCTTTACTTTAATTGATGCATTACGTTTAGGAGTTGTTTGCAACCGTTGCTGCATTATACCTTGTTACCTTTGTTATACTATATCCTTGTTACCCTGGTATCCGCAATCGAGTCAATGCTTAGCGGGCTTAGACCGGTAGAAGTCGGGTGATTTCCTGTCACCTACAAGCTATAGGTGGTTACCTGGATCTGCTTGGATGACTATGAAGTCATGGTATAACTAAGTGTTAAATGAAGTTGAGACCGGACGGAGACTTGCAGAGTTTTGGACTGTAGTGTTTTCCGTCTGTGTCGATTAAGGACCGACCGTTGTTGGGCCTCGATTCATGTTGAACGCATGCCTTACATTTAGCTGGCCGGATAAAGTACCTTCCGACCGCAAAGCTGGGAGATTATTCGGGCCGAGTAGATTGCCCGCAGCGCACTGTGCCGGAGCAGGTGTGGTAGGACATGGGGGCGAGATGATAAGACCAAAGTGCAGTCGATCGGCCCCCGGGTACATGTGGTTCCTGGCAAACTCGAGATACCTAGATAGTTGACTCGGTGATCAATATCTCACTTTAGCGGGTAAGTGAGGTTTGTGTAAGGAATAAATCACCAGCTGGTTAGGAATCGATTCGAATCGTCATCGCTCCTGGATAGTGAGCACTTGACTTGAGTTACTTCATCGTAGTAAATGTTTATGGAACACTTGGACAGTTATAATGAATATGACAGTATGGAAGTTGTTTAATGATCATTGGTTATCATTATCTGCTTAATCACATGTTTGCTCTAGTATAGGTGCAAATCTAGTCGACAGGTTAATAACAATTAACTTGACAATAATGCTTTTGAAAAGGGTCTTGAAATGCTAAAAATGCTTTCTTTGCAAATGAGTCAGCTACCCTACTATAAAGCCTTCATAATCCTTGGTGTCACTTATTTTCGGTTATGTCGGGTAAGTCTAGCTGAGTACCTTCTCGTACTCAGGGTTTTATTCCCACTTGTTGCAGATGGGTAGATGTATTACGGCTACTGTATCAACTACCTTTATCCTGCGATGGGTGATGCTTAGGACCATGGGCATGGTCATTCCTTACGTCTCATCTAATGCTTTTGTTGGAGATGATCATTCGCTGGCACTATATTGGAACTCCGTGTGAGTGTGTGTGGTTTGAACAAATGGCTTGCGCTACTTTTATTCGAACTTGTTTTGTAATAACTATGTTTAAACTCTGATGTATCTGAGATGCAAACTTTTATGTAAAATGTGATGGTGACCGCTAAACTTATTACGATCTTGGCTGGAACAGAAGTTGGTTTGAAATCCTTCGTGATTTCACGGACTACCAGGTTATACGGGCTTAAGTTTGCTAAATCGTCTGCTCTGGCGGATGATTTTCTTACTTAATTTCGTATAATTGGTCGGTTCTGTTACAGCTGGTATCAGAGCCGACTCTCGCGGTTTCATGGGCGTGTGTGTCGTAGTTGCGCAGGCATGGTGCGCATGGCTAGTGTGGATCTGGCGTGGTCACACAGCATGGCACATGCGCTGGCACTAGACACACGGACATGGCTAAGAGGGGATGTTCCTGGCTTGGGATTGATCGACGAGGACGTCGATCTCTTAAGGGGGTGAGGATGTAACACCCGGGCTCAGGGCTTAATAGGATTAATAGGATACTCGTACCAACAAGTTGCAACTTCTTTTCTGGAAGCCCATCTCTTAAGAACTCCAAGGTTAAGCGTGCTTGGCCTGGAGCGATGGGTGACCGACCGGGAAGTTCTTCCCGGGGGCGCATGAGTGAGGACAAAGTGCGCACAAAAGACAAAGTGCGCACAAAAGACTGGTGTTGGTCTATGAGGGCAGTCTATGTCCTAGGAAAGCTATCAGATGTAAGCGGGCCTGGCCTCGAGGAGCGATGGGTGACCGACCAGGAAGTTCTTCCCGGGGGCGCATGAGTGAGGACAAAGTGCGTAGAAAAGACTGGTGTTGGTCTGTGAGGGCAGTCTATGTCCTAGGAAAGCTATCAGATGTAAGCGGGCCCAGACTCGGAGAGGTGGGACGTTACAGCTGGCATCAGAGCATGGTTTAGCGTGTTACTGTTCACAAGTGTATTTAAAACAAAAAGGCATTTGAAAAACATGATTTTCAAACTATAAAGTGTGCCAGTGATCATATCCTTTATGCCTAGTTAAGGACTTTAGGTGGCTTAATTAAGTACTGACTGGGGTCCTTGCATCATATTTCTCTTTCGTCTCTCATACGGTGTGCTATTGTATGAGTGCCACTTGTTTGAGTGGTAATGTATGGATCATTGCCTCTACGCCTCGGTAAGTGTGAGTTGTGAGAGCATGATCGGATACACCGCCGATCTAGGGTGAATGCTTATATGATGCTGGAGTAATTACATGTTCTACGCATGTTTTACAAAGGTATCTCATGTGTGGGTCTTCCGTCTGTTGAGGCGATGCCGTCAATAGGACGATAGTTCGGGTAGTTACTACCGTTGTACACGTATCTAGGGATTCATGTAGAGCGTGTAGATAAAATTTACTGCTTTTATGTATTTATTGGGAATTGGGCTGAAATGAATCTTCTGCAGGTACATAACAACGCTATCGTGTAGAACGTATTAGCTATGTATTTGAGAGATCGTTTGTATGCCACCGAATTCGTCGCCAGACTTATTTATTTCATAAGTTTGTGAGAACGTACGGCACGTACCTACATCATATTACTTGTGCATTTCATTCATGTCATGCATTCCTCCCCTTATAAATTGATTATCTCATTTTGATAAAAGTTGTATCACCTAAAATATGTTTCCCCGGGGTAATAAAAGAACTTTTGCTACAGATGGCCCGCACGAAGCAGACCGCCCGTAAGTCCACCGGAGGAAGAGCACCTCGACGTCCGTTGGCCCTGAGGGAGCACCGCACCACGGACACCTTCTTGAGCGAGTTTGGCATGCCGACTTTGCTTTGGAGAGTGCTCCATGATGTGGGGTACCCAGAGGGTCAAGAGCCGGTGTACTCCTGGAATGAGAGCCAGTTAGCAGAGGATGGACTCGCAGTGGTAGAAATCACAGTTCCTGCTCTCGGGGATGCTCCAGATTGGGATGGTTGGCACTTGGAGTTTGAGGGTCGCACTCCAGCTGAGGGTGCAGAGGGAGCAGCCTTCCGTGTCATCAGGGATATTATGAGCAGATTTCCCAGTGAGCTTGCAGCAGCTCTAGCTGGCACTTTTCCTAGGGATGATCCTCGTGATGCCATTTGGGTTTAGCCTTAGGGAAGCGCACTGGTCAGAGGTCCAGCTGAAGGACAGGCTAGCGACAACCAGGCAATGAGTGCTATGTTCGCCGCCATCAGAGCGTATGAGGGTCTCGAGAGTACCTACTGGACTTTGACTGGCTTGCGTGGTCAGGATAAGCTCAAGGGGAGAAAGCAGAAGAAGAGACAGGCACGTGCTATAGCTAGTTTGCAGGAGCAGTTGGCTGATATGAACTTACAACGAGACCAGGCGGTTGAGAGAAGTGATAGAGCTATGCAGCGAGTGCATACGTTGACTCAAGCCAACAACAATG